GCACACATCCCCACTGCACACACCCCCACTGCACACGTCTCACTGCACACATCTCACTGCACACATCCCCACTGCACACGTCTCTCACTGCACACATCCCCCACCCCGCATCCCCACTGCACACATCCCCCACCCCGCGTCCCCACTGCACAGCACTCCTACTGCATGTGTCCCTGCTCTGTGGGGCTCGATGCCTGCATTTGTGTGGGGCTCAGGCCCATGGGTTGCTCATCCTCAAAGTGTTATTCCCCCTCGCTCTGCCTTCCTGTGTGTCTGGCAGCCTGAGGGACTTCTTTCTCTGCAGCTCTGTGATGTTCCCTTGATGTCTTGTTCAGATAAATGGTTAAATTATCCACAAGTTGCTAGAACCCTGTCCCTGGGGCAGAATCCAGTCTCACTCAGCGAACGTCTCCTGTGCATTTCGCAGCCTCGCCAGCGGGAGTCAGGGCCGGGACCAGGTCTGGCCACCAGTGGAGAGGAAGGGCCAAGGCTGGGCCTCCCTTCCTCTGTCCTGGCCCCGTGCGCACCTTGGGAGCCTGTGCTGGGGTGTGGCTCCCTGGGAGGAGGACCATGGGGACGTGTGCTGGCTGAGCACCGAGCTCTAGGGGTTACTCATCCCCGTGGTGGAGGCTGTAAGAAGGGAGAGAGGGCCGATGCCTGTCTCACCAGCCCAGGGCTCTGCAGGCGGAGGACAGGCTCAGGTCTGGCACTAGGGGAAAGCCTGGCTGAGCGGAGGTCCTGCTGCGGGCTGTCCCTGTCTCTGGCCTCTCGTGTGTCCATGGGGACAGCTCAGGTCCTAGAGTAACAGCCTGTGCTCTGTGACTGTACAAGGTCGGGAAGGGCTACCCAGTGGTTCCTGCAGTGACCACTAATTGCCCCGGCTGTGGTGCTCAGCTCAAGTCGTGGAGACACTAAGGGGTGCCACAGCCTCTAAAAATTCTCAGTTGGTGCAAGCTGGCCAGAAGCACATGAGCACCTGCCTGGTTTCTGGCTCCCATGGGCTTGGTCTGCAGGGCAGCAGGGTCCAGCTTGATGAAATTACTTCCTGTAGCTGCTCCTGGCCACTAATTGTGGGGCTTGCTGAACTGACATGTCTTGCACCCCTCAGGACCATGGGGCAGCTGGCTGGGAGGAGGAGAGGGCAGCTGAGAGAGCGCGGCAGGGTGGTGGCCGCCAGCTCCCTCCAGCCCTATGGGAGGAGGGCAGGAAAGGCTGCTGGTCTGGGTCACCATGTGCCGGCCTGGCCCACACCCTCCTCAGCCTCTTCCTCCCCCAGGCAGGCTAAGCGTCGTGGAGAAGTAAGCTGGCGAGGCGTGGAAGCCCTGTTTGGGGAAGCAAGAAAGCCTCTCCTAAAATTCGAAGTAAGCGGTGTTTCTAGTTTGTGATACAGAAACTTCTCTGAGGACTAGTCACCATTTGTTACATGAACACAGTGCTTTCAAAAAAGGAATTAATGCTCTTTCTTCATTCAAGATTCACTTTTGTTTTAAACAGATGCACATTTTATTATACAACCTTAATTTTTCAAGAAGTTTCCATTTCAAAAAGTAAAATGCCTTTGCTCTCACTGCCGTTCGTTTGGGATAGGAAAATGGGTCTGACACGTGCTCCCGGTTTCGCCCTTTCCCGAAGCTGCAGGTCGGCGTGGGCCTCTGCCTGGCTGGGGTCAACGCGGCCCCGGGCCTTGTGGTGACTGTGCACCGTGCACCGGCGTCTCCCACTGGCCTCTGGAGCGCTCGGTTCTGCACCAGTGCTGTGGCACTCACGTGCCTGCTTTGTGAACCTGCTGTCTCTCAACAGGCTGCAGGGCAAAGATTCCCCCGTGACACCCACAGACCAGGTCACTGGCTGGGTCCAGTGTCGGTGCCTTTACGTGGAAGGGACCCTGGCTCGACTCCAAGAGCCGCGTTGTGATGGGGGGCTATGGGACGGAGCTGGGGACGTGAGGGGGCAGGCGCGGGACCTCAGCCAGGGCTGTGGAGACAGTGTCTCGAGCACTTCAGAAATCTCCTTTCTACTTGATTTTGTGTGTTGTTCATACCGTGATGAAAAGGCCAGAATAGTACATCAGAGCTGTTGTGTATTCATTCACTTGCTTCACAATTGCATTTTGAAGTCAGGAGCAGCCTGGGTAAATGTAAAGTGGATGAGCAGCTAAGGGTGAGAGTTGCGGATTTAGCAAGGGCCTCAACCCTGAGGAGAGTTGGAGGTGAGCCCAGTCCCACAAGAACCCAGGGTGCTGCAGGGCAGGGAGAGAGCCTGAGGGTCTTAGAGGAGGAGGTGAGAAGAGGGAAAGCATCCTCTGATCCCCCAGGTACACAGGAAGGGTGGGGGGTGACACAGACTGGGCAGCCGGGTGCATCCTGGATGAAGCCCTAAGGGTA